ATTACAGTTTTAAGTCTGTGTCTCACAATTCTGAGTGAAAGTGAAAACTAGGACCTTACTTTGCAAAAAGGTGTGAATTTAGGGTTACTAGTTTGAAACTAGTTTGACTAGGGTACTAGTTTTATTTTTGAGGAAATATTTTGTCAAATATTCTGAGAAAAAGTCTAATAATTGCATTATATAAAGTGTATGACATGGCACGCTAATTTCTTTTTTTGTGGTATAAGCTAACACAATAAATTAACATACATTTAAAAAAAAGAATTTGAAAAGATGATCAGTTTGCTTCATTTATTGCAACTCAATTTTTCTATTTTTACTTTCTTTCTGAGATTGTGAAATATTGTGAGAAGGTCAGAATTTTGAGTTTAAAAATCCCAACTTTTTATTCCGTGGCAAAAACGGGCATCCATATCAACCTTGCCATGACTGCAACACTTGTGTATTTTAATAATAACAACATTCTGCATTTGTAAATATACAAAATAGTGTACATATGAAGATATTGGGTGTATGTAACGTAAATGACACAGGCTTCTTGTATTGTCCGATGACAGCGTCTAGCGATCAGATCATTCAGAGCTGATCATCTCTCACACAAAAATATCAAAGCAGTAAACAAAAGGACATATTTTTTCCATTCCAAATTATTTATTTTTCTAAAGCACAAAGGCTACTTTACGTGTCGAAGAATCTAACGTGTTGATGAAATGTAATCAAACCCAAGTATTTCAAATATATTGCCTCTGATTTTTAACGTTCTAGAAAGAAGATCAGCTATATCTCCTCTTTGTAAATAACACATTGTGTTTACAGCGTAGCAACCAATTGTTGTCTTTAGTCAGTATTATAGTTTATGGTTCGTTTGTCTATTTATTTCATGTTTTGTACACGTTTTCCTGAATAATTCATCATCACCAGCGAATGATTTCAGAGTCCACTTCCTTTCGTTTTGTGGAAATTTCCGTTGTCTTTTTTTTATGTGACGTCATGCTACTGGATGTGATCCTCTACAAGGTTATTGAACGGTGGCTCAGAGCTGAAACAGTAAACGTATTTATTAATATTTGTGCGGAGAACATTTTTGCATGTTAATGATTTCGGCAGTATGAATATGGTTTTCTGCAACAGCGAGATAAACTGTAACGATTTGCTATTTCCAGACCGGGAATTAAAAAGATGTAATAAACAAATTAAATATTGTCCTTTTTTTCCACTCATGAATTGGTAAATAAAACAACACACAGCAATGAAGTTCTAGTATAACAAGAAAATTGACTAAATGACTAAATATTTTAATTATCTTTTTTAAAATCAAGTTTATCCAGACTAGTTTTAAAAATATTATTATAATAATAAAACAATTATATAAGGGCCCATTGTGAGTGACACAGGTGTCACAGACAGTGGTGCAGGTCTGAAAAGATCTTTTTTATGCATTATCCATCACTTTCAAGTCCTTTTGTGACATTTAATGAGCACCCAGGTTCATTCTTATGTCGTCAAGTGCTTTTTTTGTTGCCTTGGAAACATTTACAAAATGGTGGTCCATCTGGATTGCTCGTTGCTGAGACAGGAAAAAAAAAAACGTTTGTGTTTGTTACTAAAGGTAAGTTTTTGTAGCGATCACAGTTTTAGGTTTGAAGTATGTTGCTGCAAAAAATAAACTATGGAAGCCTGTTTCGTTCATGAAATAAAATATTAATTTGCAAGCCAACTTACTTTCTCGTAAGTCATATTTTGACTTTACGTCTCATAATAATGACAAAGTGTCTTATAATAATGGCTTATGTTCTTGTATTAATGACTTTCTCATGATAATGAGATATTTTCCTGTAAAAATGACTTAACATCTCATAAAAATGAGAAACTTTGACTTATTAATATGAGAAAGTCATAATTTAGAGAAAATTAGATATTTCATAATAACTTTCTCATATTGAGATATTTCATAAAAATGACATTTTCTCTTAATAATGACTTACAGTCTCATAATAATTACTTTCTCATAATAAAGAGATGTTATCTCATATAGTAATGACTTGCCTTCTCATCAGCTTTCTCATAATAATGAAATATTATCTTATAGTAATGACTTATAATAATGAGATGTTTTCTTTAATTATGACTTTCCCATAACAATGACTCTTATTATAACGTGTTTCCCAAAATGAGATATTATATCGTATTAATGACTCCTTATGACTTTCTCATATCTTATAATAATGACTTATAACAATGTTTTCTCATAATTATGAGATATTATTTCATAATGACTTCCTCATTGTGACTTAGTTTCTCATGATAATGGCTTACCTTTTCATTATGACTTTCTCATGAGATCTCATAATAATGACTCTCGTTATGATAAATTTCTCATATAAATGAGATGCTATCTCATAATGACCTGCTTTTTTCATTATAACTTTCTTATGATTATGAGATATTTTTTCATAATGAATTACTGTCTCAAAATTATTACTGACTTTCTCATTATTATAGCTTTCTTATGTTATCTCCTAGTAATGGCTCATTATGATTTTCTCATAATAAGATAATGTGTTATAGTAATGACTTATAATTATGCGAAAACATCATTATTTTGAGACATTTTCTCATAATGACTTACTGTCTGATCAATGTGAATTACTTTCTCATAATAATGACTGTCATTATTATAACTTATTTTCTCATATTGAGATATTATTTTGGGCGAAACAGTGGCGCAGTAGTGCTGTCGCCTCACAGCAAGAAGGTCGCTGGTTCGCTGTGTGGAGTTTGCATGTTCTCCCTGCATTTGCGTGGGTTTCCTCTCGGTGCTCCGGTTTTCTCCACAGTCCAAAGACATGCGGTACAGGTGAACTGTTTTGGCTAAATTGTCCGTAGTGTATGAGTGTGTGTGAATGTGTGTGTAGATGTTTCCCAGAGATGAGTTGCGGCTGGAAGGGCATCGCAGCTTAAAAACTTGCTGGATAAGTTGCCGGTTCATTCCGCTGTGGCGACCCCGGAATAATAAAGGGACTAAGCCGGAAAAAAAATGAATGAATGCGATATTATTTCTTAATAATTACTTTTTTAATAATGAAAAAATTTCTTATCATAATCAGTTACTTTCTCATAATAAAATATATATATATATTTCTCATAATAATGATTTACTTTACTAAAATATTAAGATATTTGCACATGAAAACATTCTCATCATAATGACTTCACGTATCCCCCTTTTGCACATGCGCCACCTTTGCAGGTATACTGGGGTTGAGGTAGTTTTAGAATCAGCTTTCAAGCTTTTTCTGAGCACTTTTCATAATGTGTCCAGGCGATTGTCATGTAACATGTTTTGAAGTTACAGTGTTATAAAATTAACAATAGGTTGAATAAAAAAACAGATGCAGCTATGGTTGCCTCAACTACCCTGTAGGTTTATTATAAGTCAATATTATGAGAAAGTCATTAGATTGAGAAAATAAATAATTATTATGAGAAAGTAAGTCATTAAACGACAAAGTTTCTCATTATTATGAGAAAATAACTCATTACAAAGTCATTATTATGACTTGCAATTTATTATTAATTTATTTTATGGCAGAATCGGGCTTCCATATTGTTTTGGTATTGTGGAAAAGCAAATAAACAGAAAGGGGAAGGTGCGAGGGGTTATTACGACCAAATGTCTTATTTTAAATGTCTTATTTTACATGCCCCATTACAGATCTGTTACAAGGGTTGTATTTCAAAAACAACTGCAGAAACATGTTCTAAACTTTCCATGTGGTCTTTTATTTGCCTCATAATTTTCCTCTAAATAGAAACTGGTCTGGATCTTTGGGGTTAAAAATAGAACTGCCAAGCTTCTATGTAATGAAGTACTGAAATGATGTAAACAATCTTTATAATATTTTATTTTTTAAAATGCCTAATATCATAGAGAAGAAAAAACAACTGACAGGTATTACAGTGGTTAACAAGTCACACAAAAGTCAAATGATCTGGTGGTGCCATCCAGAGGTGACGCTAAATGTAGCACTTCATTTACATCAGCGATTGAAACACAAACGTCAAAGTTGAACTCATTTCTCATGAAAAACCAGACAGCGATTAAAATACTAGAAGTGTTTAAATGAAACTTAGATCATAAAGTATGTTCACGTTAACGACAGCATATGTACAAAACATCTGAAGATCCAGAAATGGTTTCTTGTGTTTTCTTGATCCTTTGTAAACTCAAAAATATATTTTCAACAAACGACTCGGATGGTTCTAGAAATAAACCAGTTCTGTAAATATCAACACAAACAGCAAACCAAAGAGTGTTCAATAACAAGATGCTGAAATATGCTCATGATTTCAGTACTAATGGAAACAATCCATACATTCCCAGCATCATCATCATCATCAGTCCGCGAGACAGACTTTACTGCTATACATTTGAATAGAATGCATTACTGACTGTTGACTTGTGTTGATGAATGGCACACCGCCTCAAGTTGGACTTGAGTATAAAAGCATTATAATCTCTATATAATTCAATGAACAGAAGGACGCGCATCACCACACATCTGACCTATTTCGTTGAGGAAAACTCACATACTCCCAAGTTGCATAGCACCTATTGCAGTCTGAGCATATGTTTTTTTTTTAAAAACTGAGGATTTATGAAACATCCTCATTTTCATAACGTTGTGGGGTAATTTTGTATGACAAAAGTAGGAATAGTTCATCCAGAATTGAACATTTGCTGCTAATTTTCTCACTCAAGATTTCATCGATTTTAACATAGAAACGTCTACACGGAATGGTCACGCTCCAGGCTGCCGTAAACGCATTCAATAAATGCAGTAATGTTGTTGTAATGTAAATTTGCTTAATAAAACATCAATGTTTACTCAAGATTCATTGATAAATTAAATTTTTTCCTGCGTTTTTTGGTTTGGTAATTTGATTCTCAAACAGTTTGTAGCTGTTAACTTTAATTGTATGAATCAGCAAAGGCCACATTTTCAGCTAATACATTTCTTTAATGTTCTACTGAAGAAAAAGTCACCTACATCTTGAAAAGGTGAGAAAATTCACATTTCTTGGCTTAATTACACCTTTAAAGACAAAACTGTGCCATAAATTGTTTCCACTAAAATAAAGAAAGAAAAATAATGGTGAATATGCCACATTATGGAATACACAGCAATTTAAAAAATGGAAATGTTTGATATCAAGCATTAATACATTTTTGGCCTGATGTAATTTCTTATTTTCACCTCTACACTGACGTACAAAAGACAACACTGAGGTCTAAGACAAACGACAATACGGAGCAGCTAAAGTCGACATTTGCTTAAAAACCTGCAATGCCTCTCTACCTGAAGTTCAGTAGGGCTACATCATAATTCAAGAGCAAAAGAAACCATTCACTCCATCAGATTATGGTGTATCGAAACTCTACGCGACTAATAAATCCAGATCAACTGAATCCAAAGATACAGCAGAGCTCCAAAACAAACTCTCTCCCTACTTTCATTAGGGAAAATGCTCTGAAATGTTTACGTCAATGTAACAACCGGAGCATTTGTTTTTGTTGTTTTTCATTTTTGTGAAATGCACAAACACTTTTTTTTTCAGTAGAAATGACATATTTGTAGTCGGCTGCCTGGGTCGTTTTTTCCTGGGCTGAAGAAGGGTGATACGGGCTCGTCAAAGTATGTGACGAAGTTATAAATGCGTTTCATGGTGACTGCGTCAAAGAAAGTAACATGGCCTCTGTCGTAATCCAAGAAGACGCCGACTCGAGGAGAGTTCCAGTAATCCGCTACAGGCACGCGCGAGTCCTCCTCGTTGGCGTACAGTCTGTCTTGGAGACACAGGCTCCAGTAGCCAGCAGAGGGCGAAAGGTTTACGAAGCCTTTGCGGTTGCTGTACTCTGTGGTGACGCCCAAATACCAGACTCCCTTGTCCCGCACATCCACCTCCCAGTAATGCTGACCGTTGGCGTACTGGGCGGTCGCGAGCACTCCGAAAAAACGAGTGAATCGCTGGGGCATGTCAGGTTCTTGGGAACGAACACGGCCCTCCTCAACCTTGGTGTCAAAGTCACTGATGGCCAACGAGGGGTGAGCAGTGTCCAAATCTAGAGTCAGATTCTGGGGCACTGGAAAACATGCAAAATCTGGTTAGTCTTTATTTTCTAGATAAACTTAAAACAAATGGGTGCTACTATAATATAAATAACCTGACCAGGTGACGTATATCTTGATAAGTAAAAGCCACACATTCTTCAACATGAAGTTCCTTTTCGTTTGAGGGCAAACAGAAGTTTGAAAAGGCTCACTCATAGTTATATAAGCACCTGCTCTATCCATGAGAAGCACCCCCTTGGTAAGTCACACCTTTTACATGGTTTTCTATATGTCGAATGAGTTGTTGTGCTCAAACACATTGAAAAGACGTGGCACGAAAAGGTGTTCATTGTGAGACTGCCTCAGAGTCTTCAAAATCTCTCCGCAAGCGATTGCAAAGGTACGGATAAATCTGCACCAGCTCTGCTACTGGACTACAGGAGTGTTTTTCTCCTGTCTGATCCTCGTGAAATGAGAAAAAAATAGGGGGGGTTCACAGGTCAAAGGCGGTGGAGTTCTAAAACAGACACACTGCTCTAGATTGTGTAACCGACAAAGACCAATGGTAACTCAAAAGTGTTTAGGACACCAAGACTAACTGCCGCTAAAGTTTGCTTTGGTGAGCTGTTTCCACTGCCAAAAATAACAATGTTTCAGACAGATTCTGTTAAACTTACATATTGCATAATTTCTGTTTGTTCTCCTATTTTGTTTGCAGGTGTAGTTACATTTTCAAATATTCCATTTCATTAAAATGGAGACAAGATCTATTTTAGGGGTGTGTGAAATTTATCTACAACAGGGTTTCTCAACCATCAGCTCTGGACATTTTCCATGTCATTTTTTTCAAGTTTCCAAAAACACACCCTATTGAGATCATCTGCAAATACTGAATAACCTGTAATGCAAGTCACAAACAAAGAAGACATCCAAAACATGCAGTGTTGGTGGTCCTCCAGGAACTAGGTTGAGAAACACTGGTCTACACTATGGGCACAGATGTTATCGAATTCCAAAAAACAACAATAATCTTGTGATGAATCCTATTAGAATGCATAGCAAAGTATGAAGGACGGCTCACTCAAGTCACATTCTCTTGACTAACACCAACAAAAATCGGAAGATTCACTAAACAATGGTAAACGTGACGTTCTGCTTAACTCATGAACAGCACTCACTTGTGTGTAACACATGCATCATCTTCTTCCACATGATGAGCTGAAAGGGGCCTGTGAACTCAGAGAAATCTGGAGGAGAGTTTGACGACTGCACGCTGAGGTTGACGTGACATGGACTGCGAGGGGGAAAACAATCATGTGAGAAACACAGCGTATATAGAGTAAGATAAAGAAGATAAAGAATGAGCTGAATCAGAATGAAACATTTACTCACCTCAAGTAAGAATTACTGATAGTCTGGAGGAAAGAAACAGTTAAACATTAATATTAAAGTCAGAAAGCAACAGAAATAAAAAAGCTACAATTAGAAGAAACAAAGCAGCAACTAACTAGATATGAAGACCCAACTTTATGATACATAAAGTTGAAAAATTGTCATAATTATGGCACATTCACACAGTAACTTTAAAAGTTGTACTGTGATAATACTAAAATGAACATAAAAAGTGATTAAATATATATTTAAATGAGGAAATAAATAGACTGAATGATGGGCTCAAACATCTGCAGATTTTTCAGATGGTGTAATCCGTTTCAGATCCCAGTCATGTCTGTTCACCCACTAACTTAATTCCATGTAGGGTTGTCATGATACTGAAATTTTGGCACCAGTCTGTACTTAAATAAAAAATAAAAAAAGTCAATTTTCCCACTAACATTTGAGCTCAACAGAAATGACAGAGATTGACCATGAAGGTCACCCGTTTACTGCTCTTCACTGAAAGCTAACACCGGCACACAGACATTGGAGAGTTTTAAAGCTGCAAAGATCAGTCGAACAATCAGCCCATCGTTTGTATGTCAGCTCATTGACAGAACAGCTGATTGATGAGACTTTAAAATGCCCCAAAGACTGCTCTCAGTGAAACCACGGCCAATCACAGTCATTTTTGCTGAGCAAGTGAACATAATAGCCAATCAGCTGTGTTTAAGTATGCGCTCATATATTAGTAGGAAATGGACATTTTTAAATGTTTAGTACTGAAACTCCAGTATTGTGACAACACTAAATCCATGCAAGTGTAGAGAGGGTCTTGGAATGACTAAATCTTTATCACCTCAAAGTTAGCGCTGTCGCTCAGCTGGTTCTGAATTTCAGTTATGGCTTTGTCCACTTTTGCTGCTTCGCTCTCCACACGCTTCAGATTGGCATCGATCACCCCGATGGTGGCCACCACTTCAGCCTCCAGCCTTTCCAACAGATCGTCCTTCTCATCCAGCAAAAACTGCACCAGGGCTCCGACGTCGTCCTCAATCTTCTCCTTCAGGGCTTGCTTTTTAAGCTGTTGAGATGTAAATGTTTGCGATTTAGCCTCAGGGATCATAAATCCAGCCGGTTACGCAACCAGCAATTCTGAGTCGTTTGTATGTATGCAAAGTCAGCGTGAGAACAATCAGGCCTTCATACCTTGACATCAGTTTTGGCCTGTTCGTCTGTGCTCTTTACTCGAGTACACATTGACTTCTGCCAGTTCAGCTTGATGAGTCTTAGCTTGAGTTCACTCTGAGTGTTAAAATGAGAGAGGAAATTATGCAGAGTGTAATAGAAGAAATCATACTGACACATGTAGACCTCATTACTGTAGCAAGGCCAACAATTCAAGCAAACAGTCAAGAGTTACCCTAATGCAACAAGAGACTAGACTATTAGGAACTATAGAATTGCAGAGTTTATAACCAAGTCGCAGGGTTGCTTAACATTTATTCAATGATTCAGTGTAATGACTTTTTCATTCTGTGCAAGAATATTTCTTCATTCTGATACTCAAATATTTGAGCATGTTTGGCCTTGGGCTGTGAACAAGGAGTAACACTCTAATCCAAAGGAACAGATAATTCACATGTGAGAAATGTGCCACACTTTACTCATGTGGAAGCTTCAATTAAGTTTTTTTTTCTGTTTTAAATATTTAAAATTCAAATAATTAAAATATACAATACAAAAAGTACTTATGGTTCCTATAGTAAGCTAAAATTATAATTTAAACAAGGGCTGCACAACATATTTCAGCATCGATATTCCAATGTGTGCATCTGCAATAGTCACATTGAAAAGACAAGCAACGTTGAGTTGACTTTGCAGTGTAATTTCTACATTTACATATACAAAAACCATAATGCATGCACTGTTTATTTTACTTTTATCTTTGCTTTGTTGCGTTTACCTGTGCTTGTAGTTTGTTTATAGCATGTTATGCATGATTCGCACCCCTACAGAATCATCCCAGTCAATCTAAATTAATACATTCCCTAAAACTTTAGGGACCAATTCTCATTACGAACTAGTTGTTTACTAGCATTTAGCTATTGAGATATTGGCTGCTTATTAGGATTTATAAAGCACGTCAAGTATGATTATTCTACATCCCTAATCCTACCCAGTACTTAAACTACTTTAATAACTATTAATAGGGAGCAGATTAGGAGTTTAAGCAAAAGTAATGGTTTGCTAAGAGCGAGAACTGAACCTTAAAATAAAGTGTGACCAAAAATTATTTTCAAGTATATCGCAATATATATTGCAGAAAAACAAAATATTGCAATGTCAGATAATTCCAATATCATGCAGCCCTATAAAACCTAAACTATATTAGAAATAAACAAATAAATGTGAGCTGTAATATAAAAATGGTTGATTTTGGCATTTGTTTTAACTTGAAATTGAATAAAAGCTACAGATGTATTTAAAAAAAAAAAAAACTAAATATTTTACCCTAATTTAGTTCATCAAAACATTATTGGAATTATAGAACTATAGTTTATCAAATTGAAATACTAACCATTATACTATACACATTAAGAAAATAGCTGACAGATTGGCAAAATGACCTCCCACTGAGAAAAGTGCACAAATTTTAAAGCTGTAATTTTCACACTCTATTCAACACTGAACGAATGATTCTGACGATTTTGTCTCAAAAAGAACAAACAAAGCAATCAAACGTTGCCTACATGATACCAAGGCTGGAAAAAAAAAACTGTTTAAATATCTGATGAGAACAGCACTGCTGTGACAGACAGTTACTCCTTGTACAAGAACCCAAGGTTAACCATGAACGTCAAGGGCTTCTGGTGCCAAATCAAGCATTTACAACAGAAAGGACTGAAGCACTTCAAAGGAAAAAGCACCAAAAAACAGAGAAAAATAGACACTACAAACAAGTGCAAGACATAATCACACAACCAACAAGATAAGAGTCCCAAAACTAACCTTCATGTCTTCAACAACCTCAGGTACAGGAGCAACATCATGGTGCCTGGTAGAAAACAATAAAATAATGTGTGAGTTTATTATTTGTGTGTCCAATCTGATGTTTACAAATACTTAATATTGTTTGGTTTCTTTCATTCTATCTATCTATCTATCTATCTATCTATCTATCTATCTATCTATCTATCTATCTATCTATCTATCTATCTATCTATCTATCTATCTATCTATCTATCTATCTATCATTACACTTGTTCACTGCAAATTTAGAATCTTTTTAGCAACATATAATGCAAGACAATCAGTCATGTGTAATGCTTGAAAAAATAAATAAATTTCACAATTTTAGATCATTAAATTACCGTTATTATTGAATATAAAGTACTGAATATTAAATAAATATACGCAGTGAAACTTGTGAACTTCAATACAGCAAATATCCAAATCCATAAGTTCATTGCACGTATTATAAAAGGATTTCTTTTATTTTGAGAATAGACACTTAAGTCTATAGTTAAAGAGCCCATATTATGGGTTTTTGAAAATTCCCCTCCATGTAGTGTGTAACACAGCTCTAAGTGAAGTGAAGTATCCAGCTAAGGCTTAAATCTGTAAGAATACAGTGTTTAAAACTGTTGATTCATCTATAAAAGAGTCGATTCATAGTGCTTCAAACGAGTCGCCTTGATACCGACTCATTAGGTGTTTCGCCATGACGTACGAACGAAACAAAGTTTTTCACGTGCACGCGCAAACCCGGGAGATTTCAAACCTGAGGCCCCGCCCTCTGACGCAGTAACCCAGACACACACACACACACACCCACACAAACACACGCACACAAACATGCCGGTCGATTGAAGTCACATTGCAGATGGATATATTGAGTCTCTACCCAAAGATGAAACCTCAGCATTATAGCCAAGCAGTTGGAAACTACTGGAAACTTCTGGAAGCTACATGCTACAAAGAATACTTCATCTGAGTTTGTTAAAGGAAGGATCAGTAAAGAGTAACTGATGGACGTCAGGATGGGTTTCTTCCATTTCTCAAGTGTAAGTACGTGCGGTTAAAGTTGTTGCCTCGTTGACTCTAGCTTGCAAATGTATTTAGTTGTGATTTGTTACTTGTAACCGAGTGTACTGTATCAGGTTAACTGGCTATATTCTCTTATCGCGTGCAAAGTCACGTTAAAAACGCGACGCGTGCTGCTTTGTTTATGGAGCTCCGTGGTAACGTTAGAGGTGTGCATACCCGCGGCTGTCCCCGCGCCAGATTTCTGCGGCGCGGGAATAAATTTCCGAATAAATCGCCGGAGCGGTCGGTAACGGGTTTGATTTGGGACGGGAGCGGGCTGCCTGAGAAAGAGAAAGATGTGTCTGCTTGGTGCTTGTGTGTTAGTGCGCACGCGCGCGTATGTGAGAGTGAGAGAGAGAGAGAGAGAGAGAGAGAGAGAGAGAGAGAGAGAGAGAGAGAGAGAGAGAGAGAGAGAGAGAGAGAGAGAGAGAGAGAGAGAGAGAGAGAGAGAGAGAGAGAGAGAGAGAGAGAGAGAGAGAGAGAGAGAGAGAGAGAGAGAGAGAGAGAGAGAGAGAGAGCTTTATGCTTGGTGCTGCGTGTGTGTTTATACAGATTTTCGGTTCTAAGGCTAAAACCTGGCGGGTGCGGGCGGAAGCGTTCTCGTCCGGAGGTGTTTGTGTGTGTGTGGCAGCTAAAATCCACGCCTACACTATCTAGCGTGTATGAACTGTGATTACTTTTTAAATTGCTGATTAGCTATTGGCCATTTCACTCTCTGACTGAAGGCAGTCGACCAATCGCGACAGACTGTCATCGGTCCAATCAGCGCAGATTAGCTTCGCGCTAAGGAGGGGTTTGGGAACAAATGAATCACTGAACGATTCATACAGGAGTCGCTGGGATAATTAGGTAAAAATAAATGCAGATTATAAGACCATGAAAGTGTTTTTTGACCTTGCATGCATATTAGACTGTTGTTGGAGACCCTTACAACCAAGATATGACCCTATTTCATGTATAATATGGGCTCTTTAAACATTTCTGTGCTTGCCACCGACATAAACACCATTATATAACCCAACAGGGCCTAGAGCAGTGTTTCTAAACCACACTCCTAGTGGACCACCAGCTCTGCACATTTTCTATGTCTCCTTAACTAAACTCGCCTGATTCAGATCATCAGCAGAGACTGAAAGACTTGTATTAGCTGTGAAAGACAAAGGAGACATCAAAACATGCAGTGTTGGTGTTCCTCAAGGAACATGGTTGAGAAACACTGGCCTAGAGTTGACCCAAGATTTGAGTGGAATTGACTCAATTATGAAGACTATTACTTTACTAGCCCAAATATTAATGAAGGCCTGTTATTGCTATAAAAAAAACACATGAAAGCACATCTAACCCACATATAAATTGAGCGCTTTTAGTTTAGTGTTTGTTATGGTTTGTTTTGCTATTTACTTTTGACAATCATGCACATACCTTTTACATGTTCATGTGCCATGAATTATGTGCTTTTTAGCAGGTTATTATTGGCAGAGTTTGAGAATAAACCGTATCAACTGTGAGGAGTCGATTCTCAGAATAGAGGCCTTCGATTCCAGGATCAGGAATCGATTCCAATAACAGACCTACTCAATAGGCTGCTTTACCGATTTTGATCACGGCCACTGTACACACACACAGGTCTCCGAGCCTCACCTGTGCGCTCTGGATTCCCGACACACCACGCAAATAGGCTTTCTGTCGGTGTGGCAGTACAGTTTCAACTCCTCGTGGTGTCGCTCACATTTACCGTCCATCTTCACGGGTTTGGCGGGTGCAGAGGGCCTACATGTCTTCAGATAGTCGAAGTCGCTCAGTTTATCCACCAAGTTCTTCACCAGGTAATTCTTGGTGAAACTCATCTTCGCGAAAACCTGCAAAGAGTACAAACATGCTTAAACGACAGCGAGAAGCTGCTGGTGCTGTGCTGACAAACGGCAAGCACGGAGATTTGTATCTCACGGATAAACGCCGCACAAACCACTTACAACATAAACATTTACAGTAACAGTTAGTCGGTTTTGGTCATTCTGCAGGAATTAAACGAGAATGTGTCTAGCGTTAAATAAAACTGTAACCAAGCAGCCCGGAATCGAGCAGCGTTTATCAAAACAAACCACGCACCATCCTGCACTCCGGACACTGGTAACCCACATCATCGCCTCCATTTTCCTCCCAGTGCATCAAAATGCACATGCGGCAGAAATTGTGGCCGCATTTTAAAATGACAGGGTCGTCGAAGTAATCGAGGCAAATGGAGCAAACCAGTTCCTTCTGAAGCTCTCCTCGCGAATCTCCGGCGGTGGCCATGTTTCCCTAAACCGTGTTACTGCTTTACAGCGCCACAAGCGACTCTAGACGGAGGAGAGAGAGAGACAGAGCCCATTCTGGACTCACTTCCAGGTTCAGTCACGTGGGAGACAGGGACGAACCTGATTGGTTACACCGCGTACAGCGACTCGGTTTTCGAATCGGTTCCTTCTAACAGTGCAGTTTAAAGAGACTGTTCTACAAATATTTTATTTTTTAAGGTTTTTAATCTTTTAGATGTTATGGACCATAAGATAGGATCAGTGGTGTAAAGTAACAAATGACAAATACTCTAAATACTGCAACTGAGTAGTTTTTCTCGGGAATTGTAAGTAGTTTTAAAAATGTCTATTTTTACCTTCCCTTGAGTACATTTTTAGTTAATTTTACTCTACTACTTTCCTTCAACCTGCCGTCACTACTTTATTTTTTCCTGTCTGTGGGGATTGGAAAAATCAGTCCTGTGATTCAGTCAAATCGCACATAGCTAACTCGCATCTTAATGAACTACCTCAAGACATGGACGATTTATAATTGCAGCAAACTGTTTGAAAGTGTTAAAAATGTCCAAAAGAAGATGTGCAAAAACTTTACCCGCATTGACCTAGATAATTTCTAGATAGCATATAACTGATGAAATAGGATGGATGACGTCAGATTGACATTGTACCCCAACCTCGTGGGGGCATTTTGTTTGGAAATGAAATTCGGGTTAGCGTCAGGTCGATGTCAACGTCCAACCTAAAATCAATGTCTAATAATGCTATAGCTTGATGTTGTGTTGGCGTTACCACAATGATGTCTATCAGATTTTGTTTTTCATACCTGACAAATAAATGTCAGTATTTCACAACGTTGGATTTTGGTCACTTTCTAACACAACCTAAAATCAACCAAATATCAACATCATTTGATGCCGTTATTGGACATCTGAATAACATTGTCCTTAGATATTAGCTACATTGAATTTTGGTCACTTGATGTCACAAGCTAAATCTAACCTAATATTAACGTCTTATGATGTTGTGTGCCTGCTGAGCAATAACTTAGTCCAATTCAGAATGTTTACACACATCCACGAATTACATGTAAATGCATCAGCTTTTTACAGCGTTATACTCACTTCGCTACTCTTGAGTACTTTTAAAAGGTGTACTTTTTACTCATACTTAATATTCACAACAGATACTACTTGCACTACATTTTTGGCTAAGTAATGGTACTTTTACTTAAATATGATTTTTCAGTGCTCTTTCAACCATTGGATATGATCAGCTTCTTGCAAGGGACCGGTACCCGTATGTTTCTTTTATAAAAACGATTCCTTGGCGATTGGATTGAACCACACAACATACTCTTCCATTATATATTTTTAGCTTTAGAAGAAAGCCTACTGTTTTGAACTACTACACTGCATGTCTGATTTTCACTAAAAATACCTAGAACATTCCCAGACAAAGAAATGGAGAATTGAATTAAAGCTATTCAAAGGTTTAAACCACCCAGCAAACAGAATGTTCCGTAACATTTTCATTTGGTTTTTGGGAACCGAATAATAAGGTTTTGCGAGTGTTATTTGTAAAAAAAAAATTTTTTGGTAACCAAAAACATTCTGGGAAAGTTTTCCTAATCTATGGAGAACATTTTATTTATGTAAAAGAATACTTTGCTGGCAAACCAACAATATATTCTAGGAACTAAAAGTTGTTGGCTAAGTAATCGCTTAGCAAATTGATTGACTGTTTTAATGAAAACAATGATTCAATGAAAATTTTTAATTGAAAGTCCAAAGCTGGGAGCATTTTTTACTGAATTTCCATCATTTATGGGTACAAAGAGATCAACTCTGGTTTATGTAACAGTGCTCTTTGGAGTTTGATACAAGCTCCAAGATACTGATTCAAAACAAACCATTCTTATAGGGGTGTCAACACTTCACGTTTTCAGGGTTTTTAAAGCCTGCACTTCTATAGACCAAAAAGAGCCCAAACAATTCAAATTGGTTCAACTGTTCTCAAATAACATGCAAAAAAAAAAAAAAAAGCTTGGTAAAGATCGGTCATGTGTTCTTCTTCTTGTTAAGTTATTGGCAGATGCTTGTTCGTTATGACATTGATGACCTATCAACCTGCAAAGTTCTGCCACAGAGCCACCTAATGGCCAGGGTGTGTAAAAATAGCTATTTTTGCTTACAAATTATTAGCAGCTTGGCCAAAATCATTTTAGGTTCTGAGCAGGACAACATATTGAACAAAATCTAATTTTCATGTCAGGCATTATTGACATCATCCATTGAGAATTTTACTGTAAAATGCTTTAAAATGCATTAGCGCATTGTTATAAAATTTTGTAATTTCTACGAGACGGTTGGTCCGATTTACACTGAATTTGATTTAGATCACCTCCTAACCAATGTCAACAAAAAACATGGAATTTAATTTGACACAAAACTGTATGTTTACTTTATCTGTGAAACAAATGTAGTAAAAGCACCACCTACTGGTCAAAAGCAATTTAGTTTTTCCCCATGTTGCTCAAAATCATCTCCAATTATTTTATTCACAAATGTATTCAGGTGATTTGATGCTTGTCACATCTGCAGATCTAATTGCTGCTTGTAGCTATATTTCAATTTCCCCATCATCAGCCAATTAATTTTTTCTGTATTTAATTCAAAATGTCTGAGCCAAAACAAGATTCCTTGATAGTCTTGACGCCCCCCACCCCTCCCTCCCAGTTAAAATAAAACAGTGCATTTTTCAAGTCTCGTGACTTTTATTTTGTGCTTCAAGGCCCAAGTACATAAAAATGCATTTAGCATTGTAAATATTAAGCAGTGAACCATGTACAAAACACAATATCTTACCATAAATACCAGTTCAAACATAAAGAATATCTCGTTGTGCCAAAAATGTTGTTCTTTGTGAATATGGAAACAATCCACTGATTTTATTGCATAGCACATTTCTTTTTAAATATTATCAGCCTGATGAGGAATATACTTGTCAGGAGGTAAACTGGAAATGCGTGGATATGTTTTCAGATGCATACACAAACACTCTGATGAGTCTAACGATAACATTGACGTCTATAGGAGAATGAACCTGTTTTAGGGAAATAAAAAAAATGTGGGGATCTGATGGATTTCCAGTGTAACATTTTGTCCCTTATTATACAACAACACTCAATGAAATAAAACGGCAACATTTAATACATGCGTCTTCTCATGAATTCTAACATTTCAATTGTAACAAATGTTAAGTAAAACAGCAGCAACAAGATAATTGCAATAACTGATGCAAACTTTGTGACTAAGACGATTTGATGTGAAATGCATATCGAGCATTTCTCCATTGAGAGCTTGGCACTTGCTGTTAAAACCAGCATATCAGTAAAATACACTGAGCAGTTCAATAATGAGAGCCATTGTCTCTCCCAAGACATCATATCTCCCCAAATACAGTAGACGACCATAGATAATAAAACATTTATGGTATAGTACATACCATAGGACATGTATATAACACTTGAGATAAATAAAGGTGAAACACACAATGGTATTATCTGTGCTGAGAGCTGTTCATTTGAATGTACGATTTCACCCATGACTAGTGACTCTCAGGATTTTTCCTTTTAGAAACATGAAAACTTTGTAAACACTTCTTTGTTTCCAGTGTAAAGGTAAATCCAGTGTTTAAAGCTTCTTATAAAACAAGTAATCGCTAAAGGTTTAGTTTTACAGCTATTGTACTATTAAGAAGCCAATTAACAAAAAAAATTAAATAAAAATTAAGAAACCAAACCCCTAAGTTTGTTATTTGAATAAGTGTGTCATTGTTATTATATTGGCGGGTTCATTCTGATGTGGTGACCGCAGATTAAAAAAGGGACAAAGCAGAAAAGAAAATTAATGAATGAATTATTATAATATTTGATAAAAACTAAATAAATTTGTGTTTGTTTACATGTCTAGTTCTAAACATATGTGTGTGTGGGGGGGGGGTTTGTGTTGTGTACACTTGCTTCTGTTCTTTTTTTGTAATAAATTTGATCATTTTTGTCTCTTAATCAATTCAAAAAGCTGTAAATTTAATATGGTTTAATAGTTGATCATTCCCTTTTTGGGCAAAAAGCAATATAGATTAACAGGTCGCGCAACATACATCCTGCCCGTAGTTATTTGAAGTGTTCAGAAACATTAGGTAAGTGGGTGAGCGCCACTTTTTGTATTTTTGTTTATTATTTTAGAGAGTGTACTTACGAATACGCTGAAGATTTCGGTTTCTTTTTTACATTTTGATTTTCTTCAGTAAGTTTAGAGGGGATCTTGTGTTCTAGTTGATGTGGCTGTAGATTTTTTTTATTTCTTTGCTTTTCTTTCCCCCCCTGTAAATGTTGGTTTGGTTATATTTGTGTGATTGTTTCTATTTTCAAAGGCACTGTTTAAAGCTCAAACATGCTCTTTTGTTGGCTTCATCATAGTCCCTTATGGAGGAATAAATAAATTGAATGTTAAGATTGTTTATTTCCATCCATTTTCTTTTGTCATAATATAATTTTCCAAATGTTACGTTTTCTCTCCCTAGACACCTTATTAAATCGTTACAAACAATAATAATAACATGAATGATTATTATTGACATTTTTGTTGTTATTTTAAAATATTTTAAATTAATTATTAAATTATTTGGGTGGCACAGTGGGTAGCACAATTGCCTCACAGCAAGAAAGTCGCTGATTTGAGCCTCGGTTGGGTCAGTAACATTTCTGTGTGGAGTTGTGTGGCATGTTCTCCCCATTCTAGCATGGGTTTCCTCCGGGTGCTCCAGTTTCCCCACAGTCCAAAGACATGTGGTACAGGTGAATTGGGTAAGCTAAATTGTCCGTAGTGTATGTGTGTGAATGAGTGTGTATGGATGTTTCCCAGTGATGGGTTGCTGCTGGAAGGGCATCCGCTGCATAAAACATATGCTGGATAAGTTGCCCATTTATTTTGCTTTGGCGACCCCTGATGAATAAAGGGACTAAGCTGAAAAAAAAATG